CAGTTGAACAACGAATACTATTACATTCTGGTTTCTGTACACAATAACCACATACCATAGAACACCATCCGGGTTATTTTGACAGGTTCGATCACGTGATACTTCTTAAATAGTAAACATACATCCTTTCATATTTCTTATCAAAACATTCACCACCAATATATACGAAGACAAGTATTGATGTCGATTTCGACATATGAGAATGTGAAACAAACAATAATATACAATACTACATGATAAAACAATGGATTGTATTCAACCCCACGATATCAAGCTATAACAGGATATATAAACATTTTGTTATCAGCTGAATACGAACATTAAATATTTATATTTAAATTCTACACGTTATCAATAAATCTACACGTTTCCATACCCGGTAGTTTCGGTACTTAAAATAGGTTGTTTCAGTAGATTTGGGGGAAATGCTGAAGAATCAAATGTATATATACATGTAACACTCTGAATGAACATCGATCTGGTTCAAAATTTCCTTAACCAAGAATGTTCTCTTTCCGGATAAACAAACACTAATAGTCGGTAGAGGTTCGGAATATTTCAGTTCCGGCATTGAGCTTTTTAGTGATACGGCAAGTGTAAATGTCTAAATTACATATATCATAAACACAATTTTAATTCATTTTTTGCACACCGCTTCATTTCATCAGGGGATAAAACTTTTAATTTAATGTACAAGAAACTCATTGATTTAAAACCAATATCATATGGAAATCAGTTATATAAATGTTGTAGCTTTTTTAAGCCCACATATAGAGAACTAACACTGCTTTGTTTTAGATTAAAGTGGCGCGTATGTCACATGTTCAACACGAACGGATTCAAATCAGTTTAAGAACCCGTTTGCAATAACGTTAAAAAAAGTAACGAAATTACAAAAAACAAAAATAATAAATTTGGTAGCCTCTCATAGGAAGTAGTTTGTATCAAAGCTGCATTGCTTTAAGTTGTACAAATATTCTTTTATAAATGACGAATTTTAATGTCAAAGTTTCAAAGAGTTTGTGTTTGGCAAGATATCAGTATTTAAATGGGTTTCATGAGGACATTCCATAGGGCATTTATGCCTCATCTGCATACTTATTCGGTAACAAACTATCGTTGATATATTTAAATATGTATGTAATAACGATGAACACTGCCTAATTTCCAGATTGACGCTTATTTCAACACAAGATGGATACAACATACAATAGCTTAAACAACGCATGCGCGATAAAAAGTATATCCATACATGTTTTCGTGGGTGTGTTTTTGTTATTGACCCATCCGACGATACACAAATTCCATACATATATGTAGCCCCCACCCCGCATTAAAATAATGAACAAAACATCATCTGCATTACATCCATACAGTTGATGTGGCTAACAGTACGTCAATATATATATATATTTATACATATTGCAGATGCCTAATCAAGTGATTCCAAAATGTAAAGATAGAAAAGCGCTCTACAATAATAATCATTGCAAAGTAGGAATGATACCTCAAAAAAACATCGGTAGTTTTGATTGGTCGGCAAGACATTTCTTATCTATTAAGGATCCCTGTACCACTGACAAAAACTGAAACCATAATTTGGAAAAATAAAATTCGGGATGACTTTAGATTTGATAACACATTTCTTGATTAAATAAACAAAATAAAATCATCAACAGTGTTCTCAGTGTTGAGCTAAGGTGGGTCTAGCCCTATACTGTAGATTGTTTCACCTCCACTCCTACTGTTTTCAGGACAACAGAGGTGGCCTGACACCATGTCGCTAGAGTTATATCCAAAAACCGAAATGGGTTGTAAATACGAAAAACAGTGCAGTGGAACAAGGATCCTTAATTTAAATAAAAACTAAAACTAAAAACACTTTAAAACCGGGTTTGACTGTAAGATCATCCTTAACGTGATAAAATATATTGTAGTTGAGCAATAGCATGCATTCATATTTCGATAATTAATTATTTCAACATGATTCGGTCAATTAATTACACAGGTTTAATAATAAATTTGTAATCGAGATTTTTGATACCAAAAAGTTGACAAGAAAAACGTCAAGATAAAAAACATATTTCGGTAAGATAATAGTTTCACCGGTATCAAACAAAAATGACAAAGCATACAAGTATTATCAATAACAAGAAAATGGGTTAAAAATGCACTTGAGGTATTTCTAATAGCAAGGTACTCATGTGAACTTGTATGTAGGCTAACTCCCCACCAAACACATGTTATGCAGAAATGCTGTTCTACGACGATTTACATATGAACGAGGATTGATGTCGGGACCCGACCAGTAAAACAATGCTGACAACAGAATAAGAACATGTAGAAAATGAATCATGTTTTAACAGACAGATTAACAAACACATTCATTCCAAACATTTCGTAATGATATTTACATGTACCACACAAACAACTGTGTGCACACTGCAGTAGACATCATTAGATCCGTAACCAGGTTTACCACACGTTGTTTACGGTGACGATATTGTGTTTGATTGGTTGATGGCGTTGTAGTAGTTGTTGTTTTATTTTTGGTGCTGTTGTTGAGTTGTTTCCGGCAAAAAGGTGACGTGTTGGAGTTCTTATTGGATTTACTTTATCACTTTTGTTGGTTTGATTTTGGTGACGTTGTTTAGTTGTCCTGACTTCGATGCTGGTGTTGTTTCAGCTGTTGTTTTGTGTTTGTCGCTGTTCAATTACTATTGTTTTATCAATGGTGATGATGCATTTATTGTTTTAATTTTCGCTATTGATGTCATTGTATGCAGATGGTGTTAAACCTTTGATAATGTCGCCGTTTTTGTTGAGAGAGTCGTGACATTTGTTGTTATTTGGTTTGGTGTTGTTGTTGTCTTTGTTATAATTTTAGTTATATTGTCGTTGTTCTGTTGACGAAAACGATATAGTTTTGCTGTTTGTATTGGTATTGCTGTACCTGTTCTTAGTGATAGTATTATTTTGGTAATGATTTCGATATGATATTGTTGATTATATTGCGTTGTTGAGGGTGCTGTTGATTAGTTGTTGATTTGTGGCAATTTTGTGTGTTATGTCTTTGCAGTTGTCATCGTTAGTTTGTTGATGATGTCGTACTGATTTTGCAATTCTAGTTTTGTTGTTCTATTGAGGCTGCTGCTGCTGCTGCTGCTTCTGCTACTAAAGAGGTTTCAATTGTTTCTTGGTGATGCTAGGGCCGTTGCTGTTGTCATATTTTGTTTTGTCAATGATGTCGGTATTGCTTGATGTTTTTCGGTTTTGTTACAACTTGTTGATTTTGATTGATGATACTTTTGAAGTTGTGGTTGTTTTGTTGAAAGATGTATGTTGTTGTTGTTGGTGTTGTTGTTGTTGTTGTTGTTGTTGTTTCATTGGGACTGTTGATATTGTATTGTTGATGTTGTCGGTATTGTTAAATTGATCATGTTGTTGTTTTGTTGTCCCAGGCTAGTGTTTTAAACAATGTCTCGATAAGCCACAAGTTCGTCAATGTTTTGATATTAGTTGAGACTTTCGCAATCACGTGGGTAATCTAGTATGATTTTGAAAGTTTGTGTATATAAATCGTCTCAAAGTTTTCATTAAATTAAATATATACATGAATCAACTGTCTTGACCTCAAACAAAAACAGACAGCGTATCTTTGTATTATTTAGATATTTTTCACAAATACAAACAACATTGATTATTTTTCTCATTCAGCACATATCTAACGTTTTTATACAAGTATAACCATATAATTGAGTGCGTATAACACCGGGAAAATGTATACACGTCAATATCGCCAACGGATCTAGGTATATCAACGAAATCTAAAACGATAGATACACATGTATCAGCTCAATATCAAAAGTTTATATCAGACGGTTCAGTTGGACAACATACCATCTTCGGAATTTCAGGGGCTACGCTCAGTTACTTTTTCTGCATCCCTTGAATATGTCATGACATAATCGAAGGCACGTGGCTAGCTATTTGATTAGTTTTTGGTGAAAACAAAACTTACAAATCCCAAGGCTTGATACCTAACCCTTGAAGACTAAAGGAACGACGACTGACGTCAAAGCAAGTGAATTTTACCTGTACGGTGCCGATCATTTGTTTTGATGGACATACAAAGAATCAAACTAGCCTGTATGTATCAACCTCAAGATGTCGTGCATACTCCGGGTGTGCGGAGAACCAACGCCAGAGCGTAACCTCTGGAAGTGCGAGGATAACAACATACATACATGTTTAAGGTAATAGTAGTCGGTAAGTTATATGTATCCCAGGCTGTATTTGTTTCCCATTAGCAATATACGGAAATAACAGGAGTATGCAAAACAAGGAAAAATCATATTTTGCAAATGTCAACATATCAAATATATTATTAACGTCCACAACCTATCTTTCAGATTTTTCATCTTGTCATCAACAAGATCAAATACTTTCTAATAAAACCGATCCTTTTCAACAAATCAGAAATATTTCTCTTCATTTATAGTGATTGGAAATTAAAATTAAAAAGGGAAATTCACCATTGTAAAAATCGACTGTTCTTACGTATTTTGTATAACACTTATTGGTCTCAATCTAAGTTACTAATTATTTAATCAACTGAAAATGCAACTTTAGCCCTGCATATGATATAGCGTACGGAACCCATTACGAGAGGTGCTAACTTTAGCGCTACATGAGATATAGCGTACGGACCCCATTACGAGAGGTGCTAGAAGCGTATGCTAACATATCGCACAGCTAAACTTACAGTGCTATATCGTAATATTAACGAAAATGAATCCCTTTTTCTCTCGATGACGTCAAAATGGAATAGTTATGAACCGGTTATGAACCGGTATATACATATTCCGTCTTTGCGTATTGCAGAGTTATCTTCTCTTGGGAGCAGGTATTGATTGTTACGTCACTTGTTTGTGAGAGTAACGTCATCAATTTTTGGGAAAACGTCGTAATTTTCTCACACAGACCAATGACGTAACAATCAATACCTGCTCCCAAGTGAAGATAACTCTGCAATACGCAAAGACGGAATACCTGTTACACACATCTATACATTTATCTGCATACATATAGATTTTTAATAGATATAAATCTATATTTATGTACATGTATCTATCGCAGTTGTAGAGATACATTACATATAGTCCTAATAAATCAACAGTTAATTTTACATCCTTGTAGAAACCGTATGTTTATATCGAGTGCTTATAACAAGGAATGGTGGAATCCGTTCATGTCTGCGCGATCTCCGGTTTAGCCTGCGCATTTCTGCGGCTTGCCGTTTTTGATGTGATCGCCTCTTCTCCTTCTTCAGAGTCTTTCTGCGCGATTTTTTTCTGAGATTTTTATGCTTTTTAAACAAAACTGGACGCACCACTTTTCCACATCTTCTACATGTTATTCGAAGCCGTAGTCGTCGTGTGTTGGAGTCTAAAAGTGACTGAATAAAAGTAACCGGCAAACTCACTTTCTGCCATCTTGTTTTTTTAACACGTGTAATTAGGCTAGTCAGCACCTCGTAATCTGCGTCATTATCGTCTATACTTAATACTTCCAAGAATATCTTTTTTCCTCGATTGTTCTTCCGTTTGCGCTTGCGCATTAATATCCATAGATGTGCACTCAGTGCTTCCAGAGGACCCGGATTATTTGTGACGTCTATTGTGAATGAGAGTACATCTCTTGCGGACAAATTTCCTGGAACATACAGAAAATAAAACATAATTAAGAATTGTACAGTGTAGGTCTAAACAATTTTAAACATAAACTTTATTTAGTTTACAACAATCATTTCATCAGTTATTCCAACTTATAATTATTACTCTTGTTGGCCCTGTTGTTAGCGCACGGAGGGCCTTTATGTGGAAGGAAACAGGAGTACTCGGAGAAAACCTACGTCGTTGGACAGGTGACCCCAATGCCTTTACACGTCCGATCGGGAAATCGTTTCCCGGCCGCCTAGGTAAAAAAAAACAGGTGCACTATCCACTGCGCCACTCGACCACCCTAAACACTTTTGAGTTGTCATCTTAATATAACTAATTTTGATATTTGTACATATCAACACTATTTAATTGCTTTCAATAACTGAACAAGTTCAAAATCGATTTTAGAAACGGTAACCATGTATTGTAATATGACACTAGTGTTACGCATTGAGTAAACTGTGGTACACTGTGCTGAAAAACGAACTTTTCAGTCAATAAACGATGGCCCTTTTTCCAACGACACCACCGAGTTTAATGATTTGTTAGAAAACTTTTTTCTCTTCAGATAATAATTTTAACAAATTGCGAATGGGTATTGCATGAGGCCCTCTCATGTTTAATATGGATGTAACCGATTTGCGTTCATACCGGTATGACAATTTATTTACTGCGTTTTGTATATGCGTCGTACTTTTAACGACATTGGCGGCACAAGACTCTCGTTGAACAAGTCCAATCTATGACGTCATAAGCAAACAACGTGCTACGTCACGAGACTTTTGCTTTCATTCTCAAATGAAATGCATTTCTACTGTTTATATTGTTGGTTGCAGCGCAAATGTAAAAATAGTTTTATATCACTCGTAACACCTACTACGCTCTATAACAAATGAATGCAGCATCAAAATTAACAGCAATAACATGAATTGAGTGTAACTGAGATGTGAGTTCCTGAAATGTTTTGAATCAGAAGTACAACTGAACTGGCACACGTAGGGCAGATATAGCGCGTGCCGGGCAAATATTGGTCGGTCCGTGATATGATCTATGCAAACCTTGCCGTAGCGCACATGCACAACAACCACCAATGTCACAGTCAATTATACGATGACCTGTGTTTTATCTACATGCGGAGAGTTGATTGTCCTGTGTTACCTGAAGATGCACACTAAGGATTTTTGCACCTGGGATTTTTTGACATAAAAGGATCAAACGAGTCTAACCTGTATCATCCAAACTGTAACACGTACAGAACCTTCGACATTACACTGACATACAAGTGCATTCCAGTAGAAAAGAGAGCGATAGTAATTGAACCCCAGGGATAATCTAAAATGCCTGCAGACGGCGTACATTCCATAACGATACAGGGGTGAATGTCATTTATTTCCTGCGCTATTTCCATAAACGTGGCGTTGTAAAATGTGCAGAGTCAATGTGACAAGTCACGAACTCATACGCCGTGTGCATATCATGAACAGAAAAATGAAAATTCTTAAATAGCCAGTCACGTAAAATGCAAATGTGTCTTACATAGCATAACATCGCAATGCAAAGACATATCAATCTTTCTTTTCAGAATTGTTTTGCTTCTTCGTGCTATGATTTTCCTCTCGTTGGTAGTCTGGTCAACACATCGTGGAAACGATTAAACAATGATTGAACTATAAAATTGATTAAGAGTGTCCATTGTGGAAAAATGCGCGTTCTGTTGGTAGATCTATGTGCTTACATCAACTACATACAAATCTAACATACTACAGGATCAACTGGCAATTGGACAACCTAAATGTCATTTGAAATGATCAGCTTCTAGCCTTGATAATCTTAACATGCAGGCAAGAAATATCAGTAAGAAAGCGCTTTCGTGAAACGAAACAATACAGATGGTTTGATCGGAAGCGTTCGCCAAATGACAGAAAGAAAAAAACGAGTTAAAAAAGGCTGAGTAAAACATTTCCAACAAAACAACTATTCGTGCAGAAAATAATAAATGAATAACCACATAATGTGACATCACTTTCTTAATGCATGTTCTTATTAACCGGAAATGAAAGTAAACAAAATTCAACCTGTCAAGACTGAATAAATGATTTTGAAGATATGTCAAATGAATGACAGTCTAAAAATAAGTAACGGACGTGTCTTTTATAGAAACCACAAGAGGTACACAGCCAACATTAACGGTAAAATGCACTATCTTAGGAAATTAACTGACGGGCACTTCGACTTTAATTGGTTAACAATTTAATTAACGTTAGGTTTAATAGAAATAAGAACCTGGTCACTCCGTATATGAGGTAAATTATAAAAGTGCGTATTGCATAGTACAATTGAAAAAAAACCATTTTAATCACAAACAGATACTTGATAGAAAATAGTCAAAGGCATCCTGCCATTTGTGGAATTGTTATAACGAGGTCCGATAGAATATAAACGCAGTGTTTGGTATGCTACATGTATTGCCAAATGTTAACGGTGCACTACAATGCATCCGTTTGGTTTCATTTTCGTGATACAATGTGGTACACTCTACTTGTGGATAGCTTAGTCCTCAAGGTAATCAAAGCCTTAATGGTTACAGATCTCTCATTTGACTAGCGGCACAGTTCTTAATATACACACTTAACTGGTTATTATCAATAACATTTTAACAAGTACTCAGTTAATGTCTGAAAACCATATAATTAAGGAGTTTGACGAACCTCCCCCATGGTTTTGTATTCGTTATTAACAAATGAGATAAATAATTCATCGAAAGAACTTCCAAAGCAGTTATCGCAACACAACATTAAAACATCATCGGAAAATTCAGAAACATTACTATGTAATGGAAGGTATACATTGTCATTGAGAAACAACGAATACATACACCAATTACAGAAGGTTGACATCAGTGTCCCTTTGTTCATTTTCTATTCATCATCCTAGATGATTGAAACACATCATTCGTTACCATAGTAACCACCATTCTTTGATGACAAGGGCATTGACTTTATGCAATTTAATCTGAAAGGACTTTTAATTGAAGTGTATGTTGATGGAGTCTCTATGAAAATTGAAAAATAACATTTATCAATTTAATAGTAAAAGATTCAAATAATGTCTTAAATCTGGGTTAAGGAGTTTATGATTTTGTCTGCAAAATGTTCAAATTATAGAGGAAGAGTGAATAAGGTAGTGTCAGCCTAACCCACAGCCACTAAATATTCTGCAATGACACCTATTAAAGTTCGGGCAACGTCGAGGTAAATACAGGGGAATGTCGACAAGAAAATGGCAAATAAAATATTCGACTGTGGAAGACCAAAGAGCAGAACGAAATTATTATTTTAATAAAAGGAATTATTTTCGTTTTCAAGCGATTTTACGGCCCATCAGTGTTAGCGTCAACAACGACGATTGCGCCGATGAATACGTGTCCATGCAGGAGGCCCTTCATGTACCCTCTTAAATGTGTAAAACGGAGATGCATTGTGTATATAACGAGTACCCCGCGCTAATAACATGCGCCGTTGGGGGATATAATGCAGACACTTGATCGTCCGTGTCAACTATGACGTCATTATGACAAAGAGAGTGCAGACAGGGGGTCACGCAAGATGAGCAAAATTGAATTCCAACACAAAGACTTGCCCATACCCAGTGTGCCTACCTGTCGATGCGAATAACATCAAACTCCATAGGCGTGGACTCTTGAGGATTAACCTTCGAACTGCATTGTTATGCATACAATTTCATGTGTCGAAGAAATTTAAATGTACCAGATTACTATATGTATGACCGTGTTATATTTCGCGACATCCATTTTCAGGGTCGTTTAATTCGATGTAAACAAGTTTACCCCACCATCAGTTTTTTTATATACTTTAAGAAGGGTATTATGTAGCTAATGCGCATTAATCAACATTGAACCGCAGACTGTACCGTAATGCATCAGTACAGATAATCTCGTTTTCTTCTGCTTTCTCCGCTGTAAGATTTTATATAAATTACAAATCTTAATCTGTTCACAGATAAACATCGCTCCTTTAAACTTGTTCTCACAAAATATAAGAGGCTACAGTCCCCCCCCCCCCCTTTTTACATTATCTATTACATGTTAATGTAAACTTTATTTATTTTACAACAATTATGAAACAAGTTATTCCAACTTACATGTATATATATAACTCTTGTTGGCCCGGATGTTAGCGTGCGAGGGGTCTTTATGTGGGAGGAAACCGGAGTACCCGGAGAAAACCCCATACATTTTCACGTGCGATATGGCTAAACATCCAGTATATTAATAGTTATATCATTCTCTCATAGATTCTTGATTGTTTTTCCCTATACACAATGTTGCAGTTCTGTATATGGTTCATTTATGGTAAAGTCGTTAGTTTTAAACTCAATGGTTGGTTCTTAATCAACTGTACATGTAGCTCCTTTACCTTGATCGGAAATAGTAGTTTGATTTTAAATTTCAATTGACGCTTCGCGTCGATCACACTAAGAAATACAAATAAATCAATATTAAAAAAAAATGCGCTTTTTCAATAAATTTGTTTTTTTCTTATTTTTGTCACATTTTTCTGCCGATGAAAGTGCAAATTTAACAGCAATACAAGGCTAATGAAGACATCTTTAAATTACCCCGGGGTTGCTTTCATATTCAGATTCAACCAAAAAACTATGAAATCGATCGTGTTTTTGCACCTTCTTATTTTGACGGAAAGTTAATATTTTAAATAAAGTTGTGTATTGAGTGAGGATTTGTATGACGCATTTCAAAAAAAGGCGATCTGATCGTAAAAATATCATTTCTTAATGATCAGCAAAACCTCACCAGTTAAAATGCTAATTATTACTTAAAGCATCATGGAAATGTCACCAGGCTCCTTCTTCCTGAGTTATTGAGGACACTTGTTTCGTCCTATGCCTATAAAGAATTTTGTGAGAGAAACTTTAAATGCTAGTTAGTGAAAAGATGTGTATGTGCACAGCGTA